ACGCGCCCCTGTTTATTCTGCGCGACGGGCGATGCAGCATGCAAATCAACATCTGATCTCATGGAATGGGGTATAGGGGTGCAGCTTTCGTTGATCATGGCACCATGATCCAGGCACACTTTGGTGAAAGTCTGACTTTGCCTGTAGTTTGAGGCCGTTCCTAACATGGAAGCAGACGCCTTTGCTGCCGACTCTAACATGAGTACAGACACAGCTCCTCCGTATCCCTGGAGTGGGACCCTAGCTGAGGTCCATCAACCGGGCCAGTTGGCATTAATATCTGAAGGTCGTTCCCCTATCCGCCACCTGGGGACGCGCCCTATAGCAGTCAGCTCTGCCAAGGGGTACTACGTGTAATAGGGATAAGCAAAAAAATGATACTAAAGAAAGGAAATTTTTACGGTACACAATTGGTACAAAGCTTATCAGGCAGTATTAGACAGACACCATAAACAAGATTTACAAGCTTGATACCTCAATATGATTGAGTGGAGATAAGAAAGAAGAAGACAAAGCTTATAAATAGAGTAGCAAATATTGAGAGAGAAAGTGTCCACAATGAGGGATTCGAATAATCATCTCTCATGGAAGTTGTCTACCGTATCAGTACACGCTTGTTCGGCGGTACATATACTAAAATTGGAACGATACAGAGAAGATTAGCATGGCCCCTGCGCAAGGATGACACGCAAAATCGTGAAGCGTTCCATACTGTATCAGTTACTTAGATCGAAAGAAGTTGAGGATAGAACCAATTTCAATACTTCCCTCAGCCATCCTGATATGTTTACCTACTTGGTTAACTGTCACATGACATCTTCAATATTCCACAACTTCTGACAGCCAGATGGCGCCTCCATAAACAATAACAGCTGAACTTTGTGTGGTGTGATATTGCTGCGATATTAGATTCTATAAATATCAACACACTCGGCTCTATTTTTATATTCAAATTGGAATCTAAGTAAATATTTGATATAAAACGTTATTTTCTTGTGGAGTTTTGGATAAAATAACATTTTATAAACGGAAAGCGTTATATATGGGAAATAGGAAAGGTTTTTGAATAGAACAGAAATACTTGTTTTTTTTTTAGATGAATATAAATATACATATGGACAAAACTTAAGGAAGTTGTACCTTTTAACATGTATATCGGGATTCAGACAATAACTATGAAAGATATTACAGTGACCTTTATTGAAGACACACATATATACACTCATGGACAAAACTTAAAGAAGTTGTACCTTTTACCATGTACATCGGGATTCAGACAATAACTCTGAAAGATATTACAGTGAACTTTATTGAAGACACACATATATACACTCATGGACAAAACTTAAGGAAGTTGTACCTTTTACCATGTATATCGGGATTCAGACAATAACTCTGAAAGATATTACAGTGACCTTTATTGAAGAAACACGGGATAACCAAGTGTGAACAAAGTTGTCTATATATCCTTAAAAATAAAAAGCTACCAGCGAAATCAAAGACTTCCCACTTTCCTAATCATTCTCCATGAGTGTAAAAATGTCGCCATAAACAATTCAATGGAAGTTTCTGTAAAATATGATGGGGAGATATTGAGGTAATAGAATTTATTTAATCATTGACCCATTTGCTTCAAAAGCATTCCATCCAGAACTGAATTAGTAGTTAGCAATTTATGATTATATTTTTACAGATCTGAAATACGATAAGGCACAATTTGGATTATAGATTATAAAACAAGGTAATAAGACCAAATCCAAATAAATAAATAGTGTGTGACGTTTCGGTAACAGCGTTGTTACCATCTTCAGACAAAAGTACTGAATGAGAAATTTTACCACAGCATGTTTTAAATAGCTAAAAAAAAAAAGGGTTTTTTTTTTTCCACTTTTAATTCTAAGAATAATATTCTGTGTTTCTCAGATAAATATCTTCTTCTTATCTGTTATCTTGTTTACACACTTGATAACAGTAGCTATTTAAAACATGCTGTGGTAAAATTTCTCATTCAATACTTTTGTCTGAAGATGGTAACAACGCTGTTACCGAAACGTCACACACTATTTATTTATTTGGATTTGGTCTTATTACCTTGTTAGATATGAAATACATTTCTTTATTTTCTCTCATTCGTCGGGATTTTCGGCCCTGTTGTCAGGAATTACGCACTGTAGGGATTTGGGGGGGGGGGGGGGGGGGGGGGTTGTACGAGTATAAATTGTTAAATATTTTCCACCCCAAAGTTATGTTTTTATTTACAAAGTAAGATATTTGAATTTCACACACAAATAAAAACATTCTCTAGGTTGTCGATTATATCGTTAAAAGTTATGCCAATTTTATAGAATATTTCAAAGTATTCTCTTGATGAAAGACGAACGAGAAGTGCTCCTCAGTGAAATAGGCCTTGAGGGACTCTCTTTGGAGCTCCTGTTGAATGAGGTGGTGAGAAACAGAGCTGGAGCGTTTGCGTTGTTCAAATTTTGGAAGACGGCTGAAGAGAAGGGGAAGCTATATACATAATCTAATTGATGTAAATAATTATATGTAAATAATCTTTGTCAGGATTAGAATAACGAATCCTGTATGGGACTTTGATTCCAGTAAAAGGCTTGTTGTTGCGGTTGTATATAGTCACAGTGTAGAAAATACTATACTATACCTACTACATATAGGTTTCTCTCTGTATTCTTAGTTCTCTTCTCTTCAATTACTCTGTAAACTGGCGAATCCTTTATAGGACGAGAGGTCCTCAATAAAGGCTTTTGTTGTTGTATTCTCTTGATGAAAACCTATATATTGCAGCTAAAGTTTCAACTAAAGAAACAAAAACACAACTAAAAACAAACCTATCGTGTTCTCGCTATAGAATTCCCCTATGGTCAAAGGTCAATTGTATATTAATTCAATGAATATTCATCAACTCTGTGAGAAGATAAAAACTAAGTAATTACTTGAATACAGATAGTGTGAAACCAATATTGACGTCTTGGGATTGTTGGAAAAATTATTTCTTTGTTTTCATTCAACTCTGTGGAGCTGCTGCATCAACATGGCGGTCATTTCTGTGTCGTCTGCACACATTGTTGGATAAAGAAAAACTTGCCAAGAGAAACCATATAATGAGTAGAATTCCATAGAACTCATACGTAACAATTCTTTTTAAACTGTATTCTATAACAAATGAAGGGTACACTCATTGACAAAACTTAAAGAAGGGGAAAGTCTTTGATGTCGCCAATCGCCTATATATATATGTGATATGATCCTGTCGACTCTTCTGTGATATGATCCTGTCGACTTTCAATGTGGCAATATAGTGATAATGTGGGGAGAGAGAAATAAGGAAACCACAAGTTTGGAAGAGATGGGACCCAGCAAACCGAGAGAGAGATGGAGCGCTAACGGCTGCCACTGCGGAACAACCGTTTGTGTTCACGCCACCCCCCAACTGTCCAAAAATAGTTCTGAGGTTCTACGAAAATGGCCCCCTTGGAATGTGACTGATATATCAAGTGACCGGCCTTTACATCCTCCTCCCTACGTCTCTCTCTGGTCGACTGTAGGTTTACTTTATTATGCCTGGAGGGCTAATATTATGACATATATATATATATATATATATATGTTATGAATATTTTGTGTTGTTGTTAGATTAGGCTTAATAAGACAAAGGATCGATAAGATAAAGGGTTGAAGTGCAGTCGTGATAAAAAAAAGATAATTATTTACCGTCAAGTAGCTTTTATTTTCAATTACTTGAGGAAAGATTACCCATTTGTTAGTTTCACATTATATAGAATTTATAATTTAATCCTATATTAGTGATTTAAAAGGATTGATTGGTTAACTACGCATATTTACAACAAAATTATACAACTAAAACTGAAAGTCTTTCTAAAAACGATGATAACCAAAATAAAATTATCAATGAATAAAATAAAGTATATATTTTTTAAAATATAGAAATATTTGAGGTTTTTAGATTATATAATATTTTTAGATTATATAATATATATATTATATAATCTAAAATACAAATATTTTATTTTTTTTAAAAACATATATTTTATTTTTTCATTCATTGACTATTATATATATATTTGACCATAGATGCAAAACATACCACTTTAATTATTGTTGTTGTAAATATGTAAAGTGAACCCTACCTTTTCTAATGAAAATCACGAATATAGAAATCATTTTCTAAATTTTATATTACTGTGATATAAATAATTTTATGTATATTTTTACTTCAAGAGATTCAAAATAAAAATCTGCTTGAAAGGTAAATAATTATCTTCACTTTTCCACGACTGCACCTCTTTTCAACAATCAAACACACAAAAAATTTCTAATCTATAACATATATATATATATATATATCTGATGAGCCAGGCCCTCCTATTAATTTTTCCATTGCAGTAAGGGCAGTAGAAATTGTATAATTTCAAAAAGAATCTTACGCGTCTAAAATAGTTTCTAATTTTCATAACAGATGGCGCGCTAGTACATCGTAATATAAGTATTTTATATATAATCATTAAAAATAGAAACTCTGTAGAGTATTATTATCTCTAATACACGTGGTACAGGCCATGATAATCATGGTGGGTAGAAGTTGGCGACTACTTTTACTGTAAGGGCACCACATGTCTACACATGTGAAAAGCAGTTCGACTTTTGCACTTACAAATGTGCCAGAGCCACGTTTGGTGTTTGCATTCGCTGGTGGGGTTGGACTTTTGCAAGAATCAGAGGCCACTGTAGAAATGTTTTTAATTTTAAAAAAGTACCCAATGCGCGGGATAATCATGGTGGGTAGAAGTAGGCAACTGCTTTTACTGTAAGGGCACCACATGTCTACACATGTGTAAAGCAGTTCGACTTTTTACTTACAAGTGTGTCGCTAGAGCCTCGTTTGGTTACTTGTACTCGCTGGTGGGGTTGAACTTTGCAAGAATCAGAGGCTTCGAAGAAATGTTTTTAATTTAAAAAAAAGCGCCCAATGCGCGGGATTCGAACCCGGGTCGTAGAGATCGAAGAACAACGTTTTAAACCACTCATCCATCAACGCCCATTATACTGTATATCGTTTGGTTACTTGCACTCGCTGGTGGGGTTGGATTTTTACAAGAATCGGGGGCGAATTGGAGCAATTTTTATTTTATTTTGAAAAAAGTTATCAATGCGCGGGATACGATCCCGGGTCGTAGAGATCGAAGAACAACGTTTTAAACCACTCATCCATCAACGCCCATTATACTGTATATCGTTTGGTTATTTTCACTCGCTGGTGGGGTTGGATTTTTACAAGAATCGGGGGCGAATTGGAGCAATTTTTATTTTATTTTGAAAAAAAGTTATCAATGCGCGGGATACGATCCCGGGTCGTAGAGATTGAAGAACAACGTTTTAGACCACTCATCCATCAACGCCCATTATACTGTATATCGTTTGGTTATTTTCACTCGCTGGTGGGGTTGGATTTTTACAAGAATCGGGGGCGAATTGGAGCAATTTTTATTTTATTTTGAAAAAAAGTTATCAATGCGCGGGATACGATCCCGGGTCGTAGAGATTGAAGAACAACGTTTTAGACCACTCACCCACCAACGCCCAAGACTTTATATCCTATATATATATATATATACATAACTATCCGAATGACCCGGGCAACGCCCGGGTTTTACCCGATTAAATGCTTTTATTCAAATACTATTCGTTACAATTATAAATTGGCGCCGTGGATGCCATTCTTGTATAATATATAAATCAGTTTTAAAAATTGTAAAAAATAAAAATGCATCGTCCGGGAATCGAAAGCGGGCCGCCCGCGTGGCAGGCAAGCATTCTACCACTGAACCACAATGGTTATGATAAATGGCCATATTTGGGTATTTATTCCATTCACAAAGCAAACGGTGACAGAATTAAGAATTGTTGCTTGATTATGACGCTGATAACTGTATATTTTAATAATTAGGAAATTCTTCGTTTCCAATACCACTTTATTAGGTACAGCTCAACAAGAACAACTTAGGTGTATGATATTTGTAACAATGACTAATATGTGAAGGTTATTCACATATTAAACAAAATGTTAACGCGGGTTTCAATCCCGGTTCATGGCTATCGGGATATCGAGGTTGTACCCACTTGTCCCATGTTAAGAAATTCTGTAAGGTGATTCTATAAGACAACATCTTAAACAAATAGAAAAAAAATGTTAATTAGATTATTGTAAGAGGTTATATTAATTACTTTATTAATTAATGAGGCATTTTTAAAGTAATTTGATCACGATTCTGATAATCTTTTTTTCTTAATTATTTGAGAGAGCTAATGGATATCATGTTATAGAAATAATAACTAGATTGGATGTGTGTTGTTGTTATTGTAAATATGATTGGTATTGGAGATTTTTCAGTTTATCATTTATAATTCCAGTCCTTTGTAGAACACGACCAGTTAAAGTGAAGAGCTGATTGAGAAAATATGTAAATTTGATCCTTTTTTTACAGAAATATGTAAATACATATATTTGCATATTTACTTATATAAATTTATATTTGTATATGAAAAGGCGGTACCTGTATCTGTGAAAAATAAAAATAGTTTTTTTCTAAATATTTCTAGGGATTTCTCCCTCTTTACCTCCCCAATATCAAAAACTTAAGTGGAAAGTCTTTGATGTGTTCTCAGATCTTTTTTTTTCAAGGAGACAGAGGTAATTTTGTTTATACTTGGATATCTCATGTGTCTTCAATAAAGGTCAGAGTTATTGCCCCGAAATACATGCTAAAAGGTATAACTTTCTTAAGTTTTGTCCATGAGTGTAGTTATATTTGTGTTTTGTTGCCGTTTTTGTTTCCTTAAATTAAAGATAGGAAGAAATAACGGTTCATATATTTTATACTGATTTAATATATGGTTTCAGCACGTCGTCTGTATGAGGAAAAGGAAACTTTGTGCGATTTATTTTCTTTTTCCAAAGGCTCATCAGTGGTGAACCCTCCCAGCGGTTTCGCCAGTTTAATCTACCATACCGCTGTTATATTGCATTTTTCTCGGTTTTCCGCCAGGTCCTTCTATTAATTTTTCCATTGCAATAAGGGCAGTAGAAATTGTTTAATTTTTAAAAGAATCATACGTGTCTATAATATTTTCGAAATTTCATAACAGATGCTAATGCTTCATAAGAAATAAGAGATGCTTGAAAAAAGAAGAAAAACGTTCTAAAAAAATATCATTTCTTATAAAAAAACTAAAACAGAAGTGAATAGAAATATCTTCTTTTTTTTATTATCCCTAGTACACGTGGTACAGGCCTGATAATCATGGTGGGTAGTTAGCGACTGCTTTTACTGTAAGCGCACCATATGTCTACACATGTGAAAAGCAGTTCGACTTTGCACTTACAAATGTGCCAGATAGAAATATCCTGAAAGCTGTCAGCTAGTGTTGCTAGATGAAAAGGTATATAAAGTTAATTGATTTTTCTACCACCAGATGGCAGCACCGAGGTAGGTGGAGACACCTGTGGAGTTTTAGCAGCGGGGTGTAATTAAGGCATTTATTTACATACTGCTAAATCTTTATTAAACCTTTTCTCTCTCAGCCTTTAATTAACTTCCTTTGTTTTTGTCGTTCCTGCTTATAACCTATACCTTGGCGTTTCCTAATAAAACAGAAACGTCTTTTTTTTTTGTTTCTTTAGTTTGGAAGTAGACAGCGCTTAGGTGTGGGTTAGATTCCTTCTAACAATTCTTTATTTAGTTTCCCCCTTCGTGAAATAAATTGTCTTCGCTTTTTTTCTATATAGAGAAATACGTCTTACAAGGTTTTTCTATCAAACTCTCTTTGGATTATATTGTAACAATCTTTTATATATTTGAAGTATTTTAGAAAGATAGATTATTTTTAGATTTTAAATTTGATTTAATTTCGAAATATATATATATTTTTTGACGCGGAAAGCGAGTTGATTTTTAAACGAAGTTTTAAACTTGTAGTAAAAATAATGTTTTGTAGCCCCGTTGTAAGCTGCGCTTTTCTTACAAATCCATAAATTTGGACGGTCAGTTTGTAGAAATATTGGAACTACACTCATGGACAAAACTTAAGAAGGTGGAAAGTCTTTGATATCACGGGTCGTTTTTTTTTTTTTTTTTTTTGGAAGGAGACGGATGCTATTTTGTAGACACTTGGTTATCTCGTGTTTCTTCAATAAAGGTCACTGTAATATCTTTCAGAGTTATTGTCTGAATCCCGATATACATGGTAAAAAGTACAACTTCCTTAAGTTTTGTCCATGAGTGTATATATGTGTGTCTTTAATAAAGGTCACTGTAATATATTTCAGAGTTAATTGTCTGAATCCCGATATACATGGTAAAAAGTACAACTTCCTTAAGTTTTGTCCATGAGTGTATATATGTGTGTCTTCAATAAAGGTCACTGTAATATCTTTCAGAGTTATTGTCTGAATCCCGATATACATGCTAAAAGGTACAACTTCCTTAAGTTTTGTCCATGAGTATATATATGTGTGTCTTCAATAAAGGTCACTGTAATATCTTTCAGAGTTATTGTCTGAATCCCGATATACATGCTAAAAGGTACAACTTCCTTAAGTTTATTCCATGAGTTTATATATGTGTGTCTTCAATAAAGGTCTCTGTAATATCTTTCAGAGTTATTGTCTGAATCCAGATATACATGCTATGAAGTTCCTTAAGTTTATTCCATGAGTGTATATATGTGTGTCTTCAATAAAGGTCTCTGTAATATCTTTCAGAGTTATTGTCTGAATCCCGATATACATGCTAAAAGGTACAACTTCCTTAAGTTTATTCCATGTGTTTATATATGTGTGTCTTCAATAAAGGTCTCTGTAATATCTTTCAGAGTTATTGTCTGAATCCAGATATACATGCTATGAAGTTCCTTAAGTTTATTCCATGAGTGTATATATATGTGTCTTCAATAAAGGTCTCTGTAATATCTTTCAGAGTTATTGTCTGAATCCCGATATACATGCTATGAAGTTCCTTAAGTTTATTCCATGAGTGTATATATATGTGTCTTCAATAAAGGTCTCTGTAATATCTTTCAGAGTTATTGTCTGAATCCCGATATACATGCTATGAAGTTCCTTAAGGTTTGTCCATGAGTGTAAATCACTCACATACATTTAAAATATTTATTTAATCGTAGAAACTTTCTCCTTGGAATATTAAAAATATAAAGATAAGTGCCAGGAGAAAATGTTTTTTATTAAACGAATACACGAGCTTTCGGGCAGTCACGCCCTTCAACTGGTAATGATACATAATGGCAATAGGCCTTAAATAGGATTCCGTTTTTAAAGAGATATTTTTACATATGAGGAAAAAATAATATAGGACGGCTAAAAAACAATTTAGTTAAAAATATTTGCAAATCTAAGCTATTGTATAATATATTTATGTAACTATGCTAATCCTGTGTTGGCGGTTGACAAATAAATGGTAGGTTTGAAATTGGATAAATCATGTGACTATATAATGAAGAGAGAATAAGTATTAGGATATCGACTGTTCAACCCGCCATCAGCGGCCATATTGGAAGTATACTGGGGGAAGGGGGGGGGGGGGGGTTTTAACGGTTATTCAAGTTACTACATATATCCTGATATTGTGCTGGTAAATCTATATGTCGGTTAATGCTATTTTTTGATATGGATAATATGGCTTCTATGATCAGTCTTTGGTATTTATTAGTGATGTTATTGTATAATGTGGTGGGTGAAGTTAAATCAAAGGAGTGGCCCCCCCTTCCCCCAGTATACTTCCAATATGGCCGCTGATGGCGGGTTGAACAGTCGATATCCTAATAATTATTCTCTCTTCATTATATAGTCACATGATTTATCCAATTTCAAACCTACCATTTATTTGTCAACCGCCAACACAGGATTAGCATAGTTACATAAATATATTATACAATAGCTTAGATTTGCAAATATTTTTAACTAAATTGTTTTTTAGCCGTCCTATATTATTTTTTCCTCATATGTAAAAATATCTCTTTAAAAACGGAATCCTATTTAAGGCCTATTGCCATCATGTATCATTACCAGTTGAAGGGCGTGACTGCCCGAAAGCTCGTGTATTCGTTTAATAAAAAACATTTTCTCCTGGCACTTATCTTTATATTTTTAATACATTTAAAATCTGGAATATTTATTAGGTATTAGGAAATGAAAATACACCCCTCCCCCATCAAATTAGATGCAAGCTGGCAATACTGGGGTTGTTGACAAAGCTACAAGACCAACTTTGGTAAATTCAGAACGTCCACCTAAAGACAATTGTTTGGAGATAATGGTTCTCACCATAGGTTCGAATACGTAAGATCCACAATAGATTTATAAAATCTTAAGAATTTACCAAAGAGATGTTCAATTCGTATAGTGGCTGTGTCAATTCATGGACAAAATATAAGGACTGAACTATACAATCGTAGAGCGGTCTGAAGATTAATTTGGCGAAACTGCTTAGAGGGTTCACCACTGATGAGACAAACCATCTTACTTAATAATTTCTATCAACGCAGTATGGTCTGTAGAGGTAACTTTGATGATTTATGCAATTAGAAACCTATAATTCTTATATTGAATCAGCTGATGCTGTGCACTTACTC